CTAAATATTCATCAACAGATGAATGAATAAAGAAAAGTTATCAAATATAAGTCATGAATCTTATCTAGCCATAAACAAGAATAGAATCATAACGTTTGTAGGAAAATAGATAAAACTGAATGTCATTGTGTTGAGTAAAATAAACTAGACTCAAAAACACCTCCACCCTTTCTTTACTATGTAGTATCTAAGGGTGTGTGTGTGTGTGTGTGTGTGTGTGTGTGTGTATTGCAAAAACTAAAAAGAGGACTATGAGAGTGGAAGAAGAGCTCTGGGTGGGGGGAATAATATAATACATGTGCCACAAAAGCAGAAATGGGGATGCTGGAAAATAAAGTGGGCTGCATGAAGTGGACTGGAAGATAAGAAGGGCATCTGGGAAAGGGAATAAATCAGAAAAAAAAGAATGTATATGTATGAAGATACTATTGCTTTGTATGTTAACTTTAAAACTAATTTTAAAAAGGAAGTATTATGGTAAATTCATCTCTTTGTATGTTAAATTGATTTAAAAGTAAGTTTTGAATAGAACAAGTTTGGATGATTAATTATAGAGCCATTCTAGTTGTAGATATTGGAAAGAAACTCAATGGAAAAGATGGTATCTGTTGGATGCTTCCCTAATTCTCTGAGGAATAGAATAGAAAATCACCCTGATTAATGGAATTGAATCAAACTGACTTTTATTGTTTTTTATTTTTTGAAATCATAATATAATTACACCATTTTCCCCCTCCTCAACCTTTCTGCTCCCTCATGTCCTCTGCATCCCTCCTCTTCTCCCCTTCTCATTCTCCTAGATCCCTCCTTCCTCTTCCCGTGCTCTCAATTTGCTCAGGGGATCTTGACCCTTTCCCCTTCTCCAAGGGACCATGTATGTCTCTCTTAGGGTCCTCCTTGTTTACTTGCTTCTCTGGCAGTGTGGATTGTAGGCTGGTAATCCTTTACTGTATGTCTAAAATCCACATATGAGTGAGTACATACCATGTTTGTCTTTTAGTGATTGGGTTACCTCACTCAGAATGGTTTCTTCTAGTTCCATCCATTTGCCTGCGAATTTCAAGATTTGATTTTTTTCTCCCGTTGAGTAGTACTCCATTGTGTAAATGTACCACAATTCCTCTATCCATTCCTCAGTTGAGGGGCATCTAGGTTGCTTCCAGTTTCTAGCTATTACAAACAGTGCTGCTATGAACATCTCTGAATAGATGTCCTTGTTTATGAATGTGCTTTTTTTGGGTATATGCCTAAGAGTGGACTTGCTGGATCTTGTGGTACACTGATTCCCATTTTCTCGAGGAGTCACCATACTGATTTCCAAAGTGGCTGTACAAGTTGGCACTCCCACCAGCCGTGGAGACGTGTTCCCTTTCTCCACATATTCTCCAACATAAACTGTCATTGGTGTTTTTGATTTTGGCCATTCTGACAGGAGTAAGATGGTATCTCAGAGTTGTTTTGATTTGCATTTCCCTGATGGCTAAGGATGTTGAACACTTTCTTATGTGTCTTTCAGCCAGTTTAGATTCCTCTGTTGAGAACTGTCTATTTAGTTCTATTCAGTACTTTTTAATTGGATTGTTTGGTGTTTTGGAGACTAGCTTCTTGAGTTCTTTGTATATTTTGGAGGTCAACCCTCTGTCAGATGTGGGGTTGGTAAATACTTTTCCCAGTCTGTGGGCTGCCGTTTTGTCTTGCTGGAAACTCACTTCTTTTTAAAGATGCATTTATTTATTTATTTGTATTATGTTTTTCTGAATGAGTTTATGTGCAGTGCTTTCATGCAGGGAACAGGGCAAAAGAGATCATCAGGTCCTCTAGACATAGAATTACGGTTGTTTATAAGTCAGCATGTAGGATCTGGGACCTGAACCTAAGTCCTCTGCAAGACCATTAAGTGCTCTTAAGAGCTGGGCTATTTCTGAAGCCCCTAAATTTATTTCTTAATGCAACTGACTCTAAAACACTGTAGTAAAGATACTAGAAACTACAGTAAAAATACTAGTAAAACAGGTGACAGTGTCATATAGATAAAGGAAAACTAGCTAATCCTCTTTCTACAATTATTAAACATATACTTTGAGCTGGAGCTATGGAGATGTTAATCTTGGTTTCTTCCCTCAAGCAGTATCTATTAGAAACACAGAGTTCTCCAATCACCACAATTCATGCAATGATAATCCACATAGATTTGTGGTTCCAATTCTTTGTTTTCATTCATCCAGAATTCCATTAGTTCAAACATCTATACACATGCTAAGCTACCAATTATTTTTTGAAATGCACTTGGATTCCAGGAGTGATATCAAAAACATATTAGCTTTCTACCATGATATTTCCATTTTAAAAAATCAATATAAACAACCATCAACATATAAGAATACCTTTGCAGGGACTTAAGGCTCCAGCCAACAAGTTGTAGCAAACCATTAGATAATACAGTTTGAGAATAGATGAGTGGAAATGGGCAAGAAAACTTATCTCATTTTATCTACATGACCTCTCCTCTAAGACAAAATATCTCACCTGTGAGTTTTCCTATACAGGAAGAAACTAGCATAATGTGTAAGTGGTTAGCTGCCCCATCCAGGAGGGACAACACCAACGGACTCCATTCTTTTTTATTCCACAAAAAAATGATAACAGCTGATTGAAAAGGGCTAGAAACAGGGAAGAAAATGTGCAGAATATACTAACCACTCCATATCCTCCACTGGGAATCTCAGTACATGCCCTTTGGACTATCTTTTCTTCAGAATCCCCACCAGTCTCTGAATATTTCAAAGCTTTACGTGCCCCTCTTTCTTTAAGGCGGCTTCATGACAGTGCCTTTGACCAACTGTTTCACAATCAATTCAACATCTCACTCAGTGAAATTTAAGTCCCTTGATAACAAGAACTGTAACTTGCTTCTTTTGGGTATATGCCTAATAGTGGAATTGCTTGATCTTGTGGTAGATTGATTCCCATTTTCCTGAGGAGTGTACAGCCACTTTCCAAAGTGGCTGTACAAGTTGGCACTCCCACCAGCAGTGGAGAAGTGTTCCCCTTTCTCCACATCCTCTCCAGCATAAACTGTCATTGGTGATTTTGATTTTAGCCATTCTGACAGGAAGGGTATGTGATAGATAGGGTTTTAGTTGGGGAGTGGTAGTAGGGGAGGAGGGGAGGGAGGGGAACTGGGACTGACACGTAAAACAATCTTGTTTTTAATTCAAATGAAAAATGGAAAAAAATAAAAATAATAAAAAAATTTAAAAAGAACTTTAACTTGTTGTTGATGTATCTCAATGTTAGAATGCTACCAAGAATGTGCAAGGCCAAATGATGGAAGGAAGGAAAATGGAAGGAAGGGAGAGAAGGAAGGAGTGAGGGAGGAGGGAGGAAGGTAATTTCTGTATTGAAGTACAAGATTCGATATTTATCAGCAGCAGCCAGTACAAACTGATGCCCACACCCACAGTAAAATAGCTTACTACGTGAGTGTTTAGCTTCATTGAACAGGCAAAATTTAGAACTCCACATAATGACGTAAAGCTTTCATATTCCATGTCACATCTGATTAGATAGGCTACCAGGTGTGCCAGCTTGGAGTGATTCTATAGTTGATCCATGCTCAGCAAGAATCCAAGTCATGGTAGATTTTCTATATCTGGGAAGCCATCAAGGAAATAAGGAAATGTGTGCTTGGATTTTCCATGTCTCACACTGTGTTTTCTCCTGTTACAGCTGTGGGAAATTATCTACATACCCCCACTAATATACAAATGCACATACACATGTGCCTACATACATACGTGAAAACAGAGAGAGAATGGAGAGTTTTCCCAACATCCTCAAATCAAAACTCAATAATGGGCAGTTTGAATCGCCCTACAACGGAGGAGTGGGCGCCGGGATCTTGCTGTGCGGGTCACCTGGCCTCGTCTCTTGCTCGCTTGTGCGACCTTTAGCACTGTCCGAGATGGCTGGCGGTAAGGCTGGAAAGGACTCCGGAAAGGCCAAGACAAAGGCGGTTTCCCACTTGCAGTTCCCTGTGGGCCGTATTCATCGACACCTGCAATCTAGTACAACCAGCCAAGGCCGTGTGGGCGCGACCGCCCCTGTGTATAGCGCAGCCATCCTGGAGTATCTCACCACAGAGGTACTAGAGTTGGCAGGAAATGCATCAAAAGACTTAAAGGTAAAGTGTATTACCCCTCTCACTTGCAACTTGCTATTCGCGGGGATGAAGAATTGGACTCTCTGATCAAGGCTACAATTGCTGGTGGTGGTGTTATCTCACACATCCACAAATCTCTGATTGGGAAGAAAGGACAACAGAAGACTGTAGAAGGATGCCTGGATTCCTTATTATCTCAGGACTCTGAATATTCTTAACAGCTGTCCACTGTGGTGATTCTGATGAAGAATTGGACTCTCTGATCAAGGCTACAATTGCTGGTGGTGGTGTTATCTCACACATCCACAAATCTCTGATTGGGAAGAAAGGACAACAGAAGACTGTAGAAGGATGCCTGGATTCCTTATTATCTCAGGACTCTGAATATTCTTAACAGCTGTCCACTGTGGTGATTCTAGTGGACTGTATCTCTGTGAAAAACACAATTTTGCCTTTTTGTAATTCTATTTGAGCAAGTTGGAGGCTTGCTCAAATTAGCTCAATTAGCCTTCCAGCCAACCAACTTTCTGCATTCGAGTCTTAACCATATTTAAGTGTTACTGTGGCTTCAAAGATGCTATTGATTCTGAAGTAGTGGGTTTTGATTGAGTTGACTGTTTTTAAAAACTGTTTGGATTTTAATTGTTAGCAGAAGTTAAAGTAACTAACATTTGGTTTTGTACAGACATTATTTCCACTCTGGTAGATAAGCTCAATAAAGGTCATATCCTAAAGTAACTAACATTTGGTTTTGTACAGACATTATTTCCACTCTGGTAGGTAAGCTCAATAAAGGTCATATCCAAAAAAAAAAAAAAAATAGCACTCAGAAGCCATCAAGAATGAGGAAAGTGATTTTTCCCCCAGTTTTACTCATTGTTGTATCACCCAACTAGGGTACAGCTGTTACACTTCCAAACACTCAGTGATGCTTTATAAATGAAAGAATGCAGTTGAAATTGCACTGTTCTGTTGATATTTTGCATGTATGGTCTAAACATATGTTTTAGGTAAATTGCAAAACTCTAGAAATATAAGCAGCATTTGTCATACTGTCGGGGGCAGGGGAGGTGATGAGTACCTACAAAAAGACAAAACTACACAGAGAATTATGAGAACACTTTTGTGCCTTTGTGCCTTTGTCCATGTTTTCTCCCTAGATTGGGAAACCATTCCATTTCACCTTCATGTAGAAAACTCAGATCCACCCCCTTTCATGATGGAATCCTTCTCAATTTGCAAGCAGAGTATTCTATGTCCCTGTAGTTTGGTGAGGACTTGTGAACGTCACAAGGAGGTCATGTCTCCAACCCCAAGTCAGATAAAATCTGTTTAAATGAAGGCAATTCTTCTTTAAAATGGTTCCTTTTTTTCCTTTCAAAGGTAAGACATGCATTAGATACATTCTGGAACATGATTAGGACAAAAGGAAGCCAACTAAAAGCTTTTACAAAAAGCCTTTTCATCACAGCGTGGCAGAGAATAAAACCAGTTCTTGCTATTCCTCAGACAGACAGCCCCTTTCTGCCTCCTGGGTTCTGTAACTTTCAGTTCCTCCTGTTGTTATAAACCATGACACAGCATGTGACTCACAAAAGAAAATTACTTTTTCGAAGGAGACACTGAAGCTGCCCTTGAGAAGGCGATGCCTCCCATTTGTGAAGGTCAGCCTGCTGAGGGGCAAAGTCGTAAGGCTATCTTCTCAAATAAAGCCATCTTTGCAAGCATCCCAGGGAGCATCCATCACCTGTGTGAAGACTGTGAATAAAACCCTTCATTATAACTGCTGCATCCAACCAGAGCCTATCAATGATCAGGAAAGAGGAGAGGGAGTAGCAATGGTCTAATTAGAGCCAGACCAGTCAGTGAGTAGTTCTCAGAGTTCTAAAACTCCCATAAGAAGTTAGGAACTTGGTGGTGTCTAAAAGAAGAATGAGAAATGCTATCTTATTCAGAAAAATGTGTCTTAATTTCCTGAGCAGCTTGATTTCTTCACTATTATATTGCCATCTCTATCTCCCTAGAGTACATAACTCATTACACTATAAAATACAAAGCAGAATTTTTTTTTCATCCAGAAGGAGTTGTTCAAGTATTGAAGGGCTCTCTCACACTCCCTTGGCCCTCTGTCATCATCTAATGACCCTAGTCATAAGACATGCTTGATCTTATTGCAATCCAAAAAGAATATTAGTATAAACCCTAAATTTTAAAATAAATCTTCAGAAGTGTGCAATTTCATGGGCTGGGACACAGCGTCAGGAGCCTATAGACATTTATGTATCCATTGTCTTTACTTATCTAGAATATATATGAGTTGAAGCTAAATAGCTGTCTGTTTTGCGTAGAGAAGTTCATTCACTACTGGCCATATGAGCTGCTGAATATTAGAGACTTAAGCATTTACTCTCAGAAGTTCAAGTAGCTACATGAGAAATAATAGTTAATCAAAATTTCCATAGCATGGGTGCATAAAGCCCAAGGATACATACATAGTAGTGAGGGAGACTAAAATGATCAACAGATCCACCCAGTCTAATAACATATATGTGGATAAGGACACCAAAGCCAAGTTCAAAAAGACTTCGTATCTGGTCTGAGGAAGTTCAACACTCCAGAAAACATGATACTCATGACTTCACACCCAAAAGGAATTAAGTCTGGAAACTAAAGACCTTCAGTACATAAATCCTAGCTGTCTAGAAATGTACAAAGTGAGCCCTTAATCCCCTCTTGCTGGTAAACCCATTCACTCCACCTGATGAGCCTGTCAAAATGATACCATCAGGGGCAGGGAAAATAGATCAATGGTTATATGCACTTGCTGATCTTTCAGAGAACCCAAATTGAGTTCCCAGCACTCAGGTGGAAAATTACAACTGTCTGTAATTCCAATTCCACATCAGGGACCTGATGCCCTCTTCTGACCTCCACGGGCGGTAGGCATGCACACAGTGCACATACATACATGCAGGCAAACATTTATACACATAAAAATAAATCTTTTAAAAACCATGTCATAAGTGGATTTAAGTGGGTGCTTAGTATTATCCCACACTCTTGAGTATTCTGTTCCTACAATTGTAAGACATTCTGCTAATCCCTCAAGTTCTAGAGACATTATCCTCCTTGAAAGAATTCACAGGTTAATTGGAAACACAGAAAGCCAAGAAATGCTTAGGATAGGTGATGAATGCAATCTAAGATATATAGAGCATTAGTAATTGTCAGTGTTCTTTCACCCAACATGCAGATTTAAAGGAATTGTCATGAATGAATTAGTTCAAAGATGCTCTTTTCTATTTGAATGTTACATTTGAGTGTATTACCTGGGTACTAAGCAATGTGTATGAATTAGTGAAGTGTGGGAAATGCATGACAGAGATTATTAGCATGAGAAAGGGAAAAAATGAGAAAAAGGCCCTGGAAACAACAATCAGTTCTGTGTTATTGGAAAACCATGTATAAAAAGGAAAGGGCATAAGGTGAAAGAGGAAAGTGTGTGTCAGCACACAGAGGGGCTTGCATGCCCATGTTAGTGATACTCAAGTTCACTTTGTGGGAAATGGTTAGTGCAATAATTGGGCATTTGAATAAAGCAACCTGACTCTTACCTCTTTAGAACCACACCACACCACATAGTAATTACTTTAGAAAATGAAAGGACTTTTCTGTTTTAATTTTTTATTAATTTACTTTTTACATTCCAATCCCAATTCGCCCTCCCTCTTCTCCTCCTGCTCTCCCCACTCCCCCTTCCACCTCCCATCTGCCCCTCGGAGAGGGCAAGGCCTCTCCTAGGAAGTCTACTAAGTCTGAACAAGGCACCTCTCCACCCCCCCACACACCCCTGTGTCTAGGCTGAACATTGTATCACTACATAGAGAATGGGCTCCACTAAGTCAGTTTGTGCATTAGTGTTAGATCTTGGACCCACTGCCAGTGGCCTCGTATAAATATCCAAGTCACACTATTGTCACCTATATTAAGAGAGTCTAGTTCAGTCTTATGCAGGTTCTCCATTTGTCAGACCTGAGTCAGTGATCTCTCACTAGCTCAGGTCAGCTGATTCTATGGGTTTCCCCATCAAGGTCTTGACTCCTTTGTTCATATCATTGCTCCTCCCTAGCCTAATGGTTAGTTGTGGGTTTCTGCATCTGTTTCCATCCATTTCCAGAAGAGGATTCTAGCTTCTCTAGGGTAGTGGATTGTAAGCTGGGGTATCTTTTGCCTAATGTCTGGTATCCACTTATGAGTGAGTATGTACTATATTTGTCTTTCTGGTTTTGTGTTACCTCACTCAGGATGGTTTTTTTCTAGTTCTGTCCATTTGCCTGCAAATTTTAGGATGTCATGAATGGACTTTTCTAACTCATTTTCCCATCCCTAGAGTGGGAATCAGTATCTTATGGAATTTTGTGAGAATTAAATGAGATAAAACATTTAAATGTAGTGTAGTCTTAACTCAAACTCAATCCAAATATACAGGGCTCTTAAGAGTTGTAACTGCTACATACTCTATTGTTTATTACATAATAAGGCAGTTTTCAGAGGAAGGATTATTAATGAAGAACCTCTTCTGCACCATCCTGTGATATTTATGAAAACATAAAGTAACACATCATTCTTTCCTACAGTTTCATCTGTAGGTCATTTTTATGTGCTAAAGCAGAGTATCAAATACTTGCTGTATATACATGCTGGCTAGTTTTATGCCAACATGGCACAAGCTAGAGTCATTTAGGAAAATGGAGCCTCAACTGAGAAAATGCCCCAACCAGACTGGTCAGTAAGAAAGTCTATTGTATATTTTCATGACTGATGATTGATATGGGAGAGTCCAGCTCACTGCAAGCAGTACCACAGCTGGTCTGGTGGGCTTAGATGCTACAAGTAAGTAAGCTGAATAAACCATGAGAAGCAAGCCAGTAGGAAGCACTCCTCCGTAGCCTCTGCATCAGCTCCTAGCTCCAGGTGTCTGTCATGAGTTCCTTTGATGATGAACTTTAATATGGAAGTGTAAGCCAAATAAACCCTTTCCTCCCCAAGATATTTATGGTCCTGATGTTTTATCACAACAATAAAATCCTACCTAAGATAATATGAGAACTGACTAAATGAGAAACTTTGATTTGGAAGTCAATGGAAAGAAAAGGGCATCAAAGTCCCAAAGACAATGTCATCCAGATTATTTCTGATTCCTTACCCTTTCTCCATGTCTTCCATCATTATATCACAGGTGCCAATTCTTTAGCAGTCTCAATTATAGACATAGTCATTCGTCTTCAAATATAACAGCTCTGTGAAACCTATGCATCAATAAATACAACTCAAAAGCAGTTTTCCATACTGGCAGAGAGTTAATTGCTTCTGTGGTTAAATCAAATGTGGCCATTGTTTACCTTTAGGGAGGAATGAAGTCTCAGTGTCCCCAACTTTCTAGGGACTTCCTATAATGGCATAATTAAGATGCCAGAGTTTGAGGACTTGGAGTCACGCCCCAAAATACCCACACTTTGATTAGCTCTCTGTGTCCAGAGAGTAGCAAATCAAATTTCCAAGGTGAGACAGAAAATCAATTCTACATTTCAAAAGAGACATTTTCTTTGTGTCAACCATCATTCCTTTATCTATTTCTCTTTTCAGAAAACACTTTTGGGATTTGATATATTGGTCAGATATTTGGTCAGAGGAGGGATGGAATGGAAGGAAATAGAGGGGGAGAAGAAACAGCATCTACTTTCAAGAATAAAAGAAGCAAATAGCTTGAAAGATTCAAAGCATGTGTCAGAGCATTACGACAAAAATATAATTCTGTACATGAGGTCTCAAAGAATGGTGGATTAATTCAACTACAAAACGAAGGTCAGGAGAAGCACAAAGAGGTGAAACTTGAGATGAATCTTAAGGTGGAAATAAATGTGTCTGGCCGTCATGAATGGGAATTGAGGGAGGAAAATCTTGTCACACAATATAGCAGAAAAGAATAAATGGGCAGAGCATGTTGAAAGAAAAGACTCTTTGGAAGACCATCGTGCATTTGGTAAGAATGGTAGGTGTGGTAAGGGCAGAGGCAGAGGGAGAGGGATGTCTGGGGAGGAAGGGAGTCCCATTCACAGAATATCTTGTGTGGGGAATCACTGATGATCTTCAAACAAAAAAATGCCAAACTCAGGCCCTTTGAGAGACAATTCATCTTGTGTGTTAGGATGGATAATTTGAAATGAAAGAAACTTAGGGAAGGCAGACTCACTGAGGGACAGACTTGCTGAAAAGCAGAAGTAGAGACACACAGAATGGCCAGGCACAAATGAGAATGTCGATTCCAAGCACATCTCTGTGGGACCATAAAAAGGTTTTAGGTTACTTCTAACAATTAACGCTGCCTTAAATAGTTGTAATTAAAGATGGGGTCATAAATTTGAAATGAAGTTCTGATTTTCAGTGGCCATACAGATTGTGTCTGGAATTATGATATTTCACAGATTGTCCTGTGTGGAGAGGAACAAGCTCAGGAAATCTGAGCCTTAGGACCTGGTTTCTGTTCTTACTGGTGCTTTCACTCCTGGCTTTGCCTTGACTTGGAAACATCAACACCCATCTTTTGATATGTTGCACCATTTCATTATGTAAAAACAGTTGTACACAGTTCTTTAAGAAATGGTCAGATTATGAGACTGGCATGCTGGGGGTGCATGCGGATGGCAACATGATGAGAACAGGAGGGGTCAGGTTGGAGAGGGAGGGAGGTACTGATGCACCTCTGGCTCTACAGGAGAAAGACCACTAGAATTAGGGGGCTTTTGAGAGAGAGTGGAAACCTAGTGCAGTGGAAACTTCCTGGAATCTATTAGGGTAAACCTAGTTAGGACTCCATCTTCTGTAACCAGGCAAGGCACTGAATGGTGGAACTTGAACACCAACCCAGCCACAAAACCTTCAACCTACAAGTTGTTCTACTTGCAAGATGTCCTGTGGCAATGGTGGCCCTTAACTTGTGGGAGTGGCCAACCAATGATTGGTCTAACCTAAGGCTCACACAAGAGGAAGCCCATACACATCACTGCCTGGATGGCCAGGAACTAGAAGCTGGGTTGCCTAGAAACCTAGGGAAGCACCAAACAAAACTGGGAATAAAGCCAATGAAATGATTCCTAATGATAATCTGATATACTCATAGTTTGGTGCCTAGACCAATTGTCATCAGAGCAGCTTCATCTAGCAGCCGATGGGAGCAGATTCAGAGACACACAGCCAAACATTAGGCAGAGTGCAGAGAACCCTGAGGAAGATGGGGAGGAAGGATTGTAGGATCCAGAGAGGTCAAGGACACCACAGGAACAAAGCCCAAAGAATCAACTAAGCAGGACTCATAGGGACTCACAGAGACTGAAGCACCAACCAGAGAGCCTGCGTAGGGCCGAACTAGGCCCTCTACATATACAGTATAGTTGTTTAGTTAGGAGTTTTTGTGGAACTCCTAACAGTGGGATCAGGGGTATCTTTGACCCTTTTGCCTGCTTTTGAGTCCCTTGTCCACACCTACTGGGCTGCCTTATCCAGCCTTGATATGAGGGTTTGTGCCTAGTCTTGCATCTTGTTGTGCTATGCAGGGTTGATATCCCTGGGAGGCAAGCTCTTTACTCAAGCTGGAAATGTAGGAGCAGTGACCTGGGGAAGAAGAGAGAAGAGGGGAGGGAAGGGGAGAGGAGGGTAGAGAAGGGCTGAGAAACTGTTGTCAGGATGTATTGTATGAGAGAAGAATAAATAAAAAGAAAAATATGTTCAGTCTAAAAAAATCATACAAGTAACATTATGTGAACTGAGTAGGTTATATTTATGAATGTGTATGATATACATATACATATATGTATCAATAAACACTTAATTTAAAAAGAGGCCACAAATTTGAAAAAGAATGGGAAGGGGTATATGGGCAAGTCCATAGGGAAGAAAGGAAGAATGTTGTAATTCTAATATTATCTTAAATTCATTTTTAAATGTCAGAAAATTGTTGGTTTCTACACGAGTAAGAATATTGGGCTTCCATTATAGGTTTAAAGAGAAATTGGGCACTAGAGAAATGTTCTGGGATCTACAAGGATGATCCCAACTAAGCATCTAAGCAATAGTGGAGAGACTACCTTAAATGCCCTTCCTCTATAATGAGATTGATGACTACCTTATATGACATCCTAGAGCCTTCATCCAGTAGCTGATGGAAGCAGAAGCAGAGACCCACAGCTAAGCACTAAGCTAAACTCCTGGAATCCAGTTGCAGAGAGGGAGGAGTGATGAGCAAAGGGGTCAAGAACATGCTGGAGAAAGCCACAGAAACAGTTGACCTGAGCAAGTGGGAGCACACAGACACCAGTATGACAGCTGGGAAAACAGCATAGGACCGAACCAGGCCCCCTGAACATAAGTGTCAGTTGGGAGACCAGGGCAGTCTATGGGACCTCTGGAAGTGGAACCAGTATTTATCCCTAGTGCATAGACTTTGGGCATCCATTCCATAGGGAGGGATACTCTCTCAGCCTAGATACCTGGGGGAGCATCTAGGCCCTGCCCCAAATGATGTGACAGACTTTAATTATACCTCATGGGAGGCTTCACCCTCCCTAGGGAGTGGATGGGGGGGTTGGTGGGGGACATGGGAGGATAGGAGGGAGAGGGAACTGGGACCAATATATAAAATAAGATTGTTTTTAATTTAAATAAAAAAGAAAATCAAAGACTAATAAGACAAAAAAAAAGGATACTGGGCTTCATCAATGTATCACTGTATAATTATGTAAGAAAAAATAAGGTGCTGGAATAAAACTAACAAACACACACACACACACACACACACACACACACACACAAACACACAAATGACCAGTGGTCTTGTAGTGGGACCTACTTCCCCTAATTCCCACTTCTTTTTGTTATGAGGTTTTTGTCTATTTGTCCCAACTTTCAACTCGGTATAAACTCTGTGAGGTCAAGATGTCATTCAGTTGAATTGGTTCAGCATCTACAACAGTATTGGGAATGCACTAAGTGATGATAGATAGAAGATAGATAGATAGATAGATAGATAGATAGATAGATAGATAGATATACATAGATACATAGGTGTGTGTGTGTGTGTGTGTGTGTGTGTGTGTGTGTGTGTGTGTTGATCAGGACCCACATACCTTCTCATTGTATAGATTCCATATTTAACTTTGGAAAATGATCAGGCACCACTTTTTTCTTCTATATTCTATTATTGTCGTCTGTTTGATTATATTGGAGTCTCTTGTTAACATTTCTGAACCCCTTTTCCTCCAGCTCTGTCTTGCAATTCATTATCTCTTTGTCTGTCAACAAAATACCTTATTTGCAGGAGACTTTTTTTCAGTTTCTAAATATTTACTTTGATTCTGTTTCAAATCTACCAGAATCATCCTGTTTGTATCTTTTGTTTCTTTTGCTCTTCAATCCTTTGTATCTTTGATCTTTTTCATCTATTTTAGCATCTCTTTCAGATTGTTCTGTTATTCCTATTTCTAGAGATAATGTTTACCTTTTTTGTTAATGATTGCATCACTTTCTCCTTTCCCTCATGACAATGACATTTTCTTAAATAGTGTCTTACTCTATAACCCAAACTGTGCTGTGATTCACTAGGTAGCCCAAGCTAACCTTGAATTCATGGTGATCCCTCTATCTCAACATCCCACCTCAGGAATTGTGGGTATGAGCCACCATGCCTGGCTCCTTTGTGGGACTTTTTAATATGTGACTGTGAGACCATCTCCTATAGTACTATAGGAGTCCAGCTGCACTTGAACCACCTCTACAATGTGTATTAATTTGCCTATTTTAGCCTCAAAGTCACTGGCTCCACAGTCCCTATTGTTTTGACTCTTTTGATCTGTCTGCCTGATGTCTGTCTTGTCTTTGTGTCTGAAAATGCTTCATTTACAGAGAAGAAGACTCCAAGCACTGGCTGCCATCAAATACTTAAATAACTGTAATGTAAAAAGGGAAATAATTATACTTTCTCATGTAGTTCAGAGAACAGACTCTAATAAATGAATTCAGGGACATCATCTATCAACCTTAGATTAAAAATAAAAAGTAAAATCCATAGTCTCATCCACCCCCAACTTCCATCAGTAAAATGAGGATATAGAATTGTCTGAGTGGTTCACAGACTTTTTACCTTTGGCAATGAGGAAGATTTTTCAGGTAATCGATCCATGGAAACACTTGGATAATATTCACCTCCTTCATCTCATCTCATCTCCACTCAAAATAATGCATAGCTTGGATTCTTCCACCAAGAAAGCAGATCTCATACCCAAGCTTCCATGACCCAATTTTAAATCACAAATTATGTGACAGCAATGTCTAAATGACAAAACATTAAGAAAAGATAGTCATTTGGAGTCACAACAAGCCCAACCTTCACCTTCCTGGCGGACTGTTTGCACATCATTTAAGCAGCTTAAACAACAGTTTTCTTATGTCTAAATGACAAAACATTAAGAAAAGATAGTCATTTGGAGTCACAACAAACCCAACCTTCACCTTCCTGGCTGACTATTTGCACATCATTTAAGCAGCTTAAACAACAGTTTTCTTACCTATTAAATGGAATGATAATACATGCCTTATGTATTTCATTATTATTCAGTTTTGAAGCCAATCTAAATATATCTGGCATATGGTAGGTATTCAATAAATGTTATTATATCCAAAATTAAACAATATTCTCTGCTGACAAAGGATGAAATGGTGTCTATGACAACAGGATATATTTTAATCCTTCCAACATGTTATACTGTTATGACTTAACATCTAAAATGTTTTTTAATCCCATTAAAATCTTCATGCATTCCAAAATATGGTGATGAATTATTTTTATGCAAGACACAGTTATTTGAATTACTCCAGCACATGGGACATCTTTCAGAGATTTATTTTTTCTTGAATTGTTAAAACCATGAGTAATCAACTCCCCGCCTCATAAAGATTTTATTTAACACCCAAAAAATACTACCCCTTTTGGTAACCATTGTTCCTTCCAACTTATCCCTGTCAACCCCCTTATTATCTCTTAGCACAGAGAGATCTCAGCCCCTCATATTTCTGCTATCACACTAGAGGTGTGTTTTATGTGCTGACATCTGAGATGATCTTAGGTTTGTAAACAATACAATGAGATTCATTAGAAGTTTCTGACTCACAGACACTCAAAGAAAACTTCTTCTATTTTTCTGTAAGTTTATTTTCTGGGTTTTTTTGCCCTATGTATTTCAATCAGATAAAATGCTTTTGTTCTGAATAAAAGAAAATTAAAGTACCGATAGTCTTCAGATAATAAGGGTAACTGTTGATATTATATTGAGGGATAGATCAGAAATGAAAAAAAAAGAAAAAATTGTCCCAATTTAGAATACAATAGTTATTTAAAAGTGAGTGTGAACTTGGGTTTTGAATTAGACTCAGTTCAATCCCCGAATCTACCACTCTGGAGTATAGTGAATAGCAACAAGCTAAGTATACACCTACCCTTCAATTTTATACCTCAAATGAACAAGAAACACAGTCTTCCTATATACAGCCAGGAGGGAGAAAGGAAATGTCAGAACCCCTTGAGTAGTGAAAAGTATGTTAAAGTCTGATCCTAGAGATGTCAAAAATAGACTAGGAAATAATAGAAGGGGTAAAGTAACTTGTCCTTCTGTTAGAGATAGGTTAGTAGATATAGAGAAACATGTGCTCTTATTTTTTGTAATTTATGCTAAAACTATCTGGAAAACAAAATCATGTTACAATATTAAAATATATCACACTGAGATGCATGATATAGGCCACAGAACTAATGATACAAGCCCATGAACAAACAAAGCAGCCATGTGATAATACATGGTACATCATAAGCACTGACTCTGAGCTGGAGACCATGATATACTTTGCATATGAACACATATGCCCCTGTCTTATTTCACCTTTATTATGCTATGAGCATGTATAGTTCATTTAAAGCCCAACAGGAAGATTTTATAATATGATGACCATTTCATAAACAATACCTTAGCCTGTAAGCATTAAACTGAGACAAGAGCCTACGAAACCATCCACAATAGTTAGAGCTAGAATAAAGCGACCAAAAGAATATGAAACAGGAAGTATATAAGGATTCCATAAATTTGAGGTCAGCACTTTCTACAAAGGTTGTCATGCCAAAGTGACACAAACTGAGAAGTGAAGATGGCAACTAGGCAAATATTGATCCCAATGCCAGACCTTTGTTTGTTTGGTTGGTGTTTCTTAAATAAAAAAGAAGTTGGACATGCAAAAGTGAGCTATTCAGATATACATTCATAAATGCATAAATCTCAGTGACCCATACCCTTTTGGCCTCTTCAGTTTCAAGTGTAACCATCTCTTCATCCCTCATGCTTGTTTTCGTAGGGGCATTTAGGCAGTATGCCCAAGTTCATCTGCTGATGACCCCAGCAAAAGGGACTTCAAATTTCAGTTTCTCCACAACATTCCTTGATGCATTTCTGCTACTTGAATTCAAGAAAGCTAAGAATGCACTAGTTAACTCATAGTTAGTTATGTGCCTCTGGTTGGCAGGAATCCAAGAAGAAGCATTTCCAAGTTTGTAGTTGGTAGTGGTACAGGCCCAGGATCCAGCCTGGATTCTGTTAGTATTCAGGCTTTTGTACTGGTCTGTCCTTGGGGTTCTGACAGAATACGCCCTCAGCTGCAGCCACTAAGAGCACCACCTGTGTCTATTCCCTATGTTCCCTTTTAAAAGGGCCCTGCACACCTCCCATCCTTCTCTCTCTCTCCCTCTCCCTCTCCCTCTCTCTGTCTCTCTCTCTCTGTCTCTCTGTCTCTGTGTCTCTCTCTCTCTCTCTCTCTCTCTCTCTCTCTCTCTCTCTCTCTCTCTCGGAAGCCTTTAACATTTACTACAGAAGTAGCAATTAATATTCTAGGTACCAACTTCAGAATATTTGCTACTATGAATTTGGTTGTATGCAGAACATATACTGGGT